ACACACACCTGACCATCAGACATAGTGCATCGAATGGTCAGTTGCAATGTTTTCGACATCCATCGACACCCACAGACGGACGATGCTCTACACAAACACAGCCTTTGCCCCTGACAAATGCATATAGTGCTATGGAAACAGACGATGTGAACAGAAACAACTGAAACTTACTATGTGTTTCTCCTTCGGTTGGGGTGAATGTATGTTTTATCCATGCTTGGTTCAAACAATAATGTTCGGAAATATGTCTACCCCATGTGGACACCAACAGACAGAATAGTCCAAAGTCAATCAAAAGATAGATTAATACAGAAACTATGATAAATGATAACTTTGGAAAAAAAACGAATCAAGTCTAAGTTTTCAGAAAATCATTTGCACGTTTGGAAACAAATTCATTCACTCATAATTCATTGACTGGCTTGTATGCCACTTCTTTCAATCAAAACGGTACAAAAGATTGGCTGGAGCCAGCAAAGCTGGCACTCCATATAGCTGGAATATTCTATCTGTTGATTTTGAATCATTTTGCATATTAAAACATACAGCAAAATGTGGTCGATTTACGTTCTATCCGAAAAACCACCGCAAACCAACATCAACATGAAACATGCACGCACGCACACACACACACACTGACCATCAGACATAGTGCATCGAATGGTCAGTTGCAATGTTTTCGACACCCATCGACACCCACAGACGGACGATGCTCTACACAAACACAACCTTCGCCCCTGACAAATGCATATAGTGCTATGGAAACAGACGATGTGAACAGAAACAACTGCAACTCACTATATGTTTCTCCTTCGGTTGGCGTGAATGTATGTTTTATCCATGCTTGGTTCAAACAATAATGTTCGGAAATATGTCTACCCCATGTGGACACCAACAGACAGAATAGTCCAAAGTCAATCAAAAGATAGATTAATACAAAAACTATGATAAATGATAAATTTGGGAAAAACGAATCAAATTTACTTTTTCCAGAAAATCATCTGCACGTTTGGAAACAAATTCATTCACTCATAATTCATTGACTGGCTTGTATGCCACTCATTGCAATCAAAACGGTACAAAAGATTGGCTGGAGCCAGCAAAGCTGGCACTCCATATAGCTGGAATATTCTATCTGTTGATTTTGAATCATTTTGCATATTAAAACATACAGCAAAATGTGGTTGATTAACGTCCTTTTATCAAACAATTTGAAAAACTCTCGCAAAACGCAAAACCAACATGAAACATGCACACACACACACCTAACCCTTGCTAACCTTGACTCATCAGACGTAGTGCATCGAATGTTCAGTTGCAATGCTTTCGACACCCATCGACACCCACAGACGGACAATGCTCTACACAAATACAGCCTTGGCCTTTGCACCGGACAAATGCATATAGTGCTATGGAAACACACGATGTGAACAGAAACAACTGCAACTTATGTGTTGTTCATTGACAATGTACGGAAATAGCTGTACCCTTGGGGAAATCAACAGATAGAATAGTCCAGCAGATAAATCATACAAAAATATGCAAAAATCATGATAAATGCGAATTTGGTCAAAGTTTCCGGAAAATCATTGATGCCTCTGAAAACCCTATATATATATATACACGGATTAATAGATAGAATATTCAATACTGCAACGAAACCTCAAAAACTATTCTATCTGCGAGTTATACTGTCAACGTGTTTTTCTGCTATTTTCATTTTTAACTTACCCGAAAAAGTCATTGATTTTATTCTATGTGCCAGTTACTGAATATATATATATGTATAGGCAAACCAAACAGATAGAATATTCCAGTATCGTCATATAAAGGAAACATGGTCATGTCAGAAGCATACATGTGTGAATATTTGTTAAACAAAAAGATGACAACAGATATATCTTTAGTTGTGTTCTGCATCAATTCTCACCAAATCGTATATATATATATGCAAATCAAACAGATAGAATATGTTTTATATCTAAATTATATCTATTATAGAAAAATATAAAAAAATAATCAAAATATTTTTTAAGGTTTTTAAGACAAAAATGTTACAAAACCATATATATATATATATACACGGATCTAGTCCGTACCTGCCGATATTCTATCTGTTGAAATTCCTGCCTGCAAACCTGCTCATGTAGTATTTTTTTTTGAAATGAATTATGGTTTTTATTCTATCTGCTGGATCCTTACTATATATATATATATACGTACATACATACATATAACATGCATTTCTACTATAATTCCTACTTAACCTACTTCAAAGACTTAAGTCACATCGAGGGTGTTGCTGCAACAAAGGGATGTAATTCCTGGGTTGACAAGAAAGAATTTGGATCTATTTTCGCATTTGGTTTGCCCAGTAATATTATATTTCACCAAAACATAAATATCACTATTAAAAATCCTTATGTATATATGTATCACCAGTGTTTAGATTACAACTATATACACATATATATATATGTGGCATGTAAATATATATATATATATAAATATGTATATCTATACATCACCATCATATTCCCATAATCCAATACGTGTTGGTTAAATTCCATATTTTGTTGGTTTAGCCAATCACATATATATATATATATCACCATTGTATACCCATGTCTGAGTCTGCTGGTTAAACCCCGTTTCTTATTGTTTTAGAAAGCTAGCGTCCAGCTTTAACCATGGTATACAGTATACAATTCCAATAGTTATGGCTATCAATATACAATTTGTGCATCAGCTAAACCCCAGCCATTGTGCACCAAGTGACGTATTGCCTGAAATATAACATCCATCACCTGGCTTCGCTAGGTACGATTTCACCAACAAAAATATTATTTAACACACATGGGGATGATTTATGGTAGGCATACAGTTTATGGTACATGTATTGCTATAATTGGATGGTTTTCACATCAACCAACAAACATTTCACAACCGAGGCTTCCACATTTTTTTGCTTTTTCAGTTCAGGTCCTTTTTCATGAGGGTCCTGATGATGACCCTCATGAAAAAGGATCGTCTTGCAACCAAAACTCATGGGGATTTTTTAAAGAATCATCAGGACTTTACGGCTGACGAACGGAAATACTATATATTGAAGAATTGAAGTTGGTTTTGTCTGGAAAAAGGGACCGGATTGACCTCAATCTTTTTGGACATCTTTGTAGATGGCATATCTTATTGACCAGTGGATGGGGTTTCTCCGAAAATCATCGGGATCAACCCCCAAAATGTTGCGGCGCACAAAATCTATCCATTTGATGTACCCTCCGGTGTCATCAAACGTCTTACACACGACGATTTACAGCTGGGAAAATCATCAAACTAAATGGAGGTTTAAATGGAATTCATCTTATCGATGTTTTTTCCCAGCCATGACTGAAAAATATTATTGGGATGATGACATTCCCAACTGAATGCAAAAATATAAGTGTGCCAAACCACCAACCAGATTTAGTTCAGGGATTTTCCAGCCACGTTTGATGACACAGATGAATCTCACCAGTTGGATCCAGCGGCACCTTTTGGCAACGGTTGAGGCATACGGACCAGCTTTGGATATAGAACCTCGAGACGGCCACGGTGCGTTGCTGTTGCAGACCCGGTCATTTATAATATGTAGCTATTGAAAAAATGCACACATATAAATGATTTAACTGCTGAGAACGGTGGTTTAGATTGTTTAATTATCAAACCGGCGATTTATAGATGATGTAACCATTAAAAAATGGTGATGTTCCAAATCTGTAACCTGTATTAGATTACCAGAGAGTATACTTTAAGAGAAACCCTTGCTTGGAATCCCATTCTATTCCCATGTATATATCCAAGGTATTGACCCAGTCCAATGGTGACCACCGGGATGTACATCTAACGTATCGAATCAGTACGAAAGGTGGTTGGCAATAGACACCTGAACAATTATGATGTCTAGATATGTCCATCTCATCCCAAACCCGAACATATTTGGTTTGTGCTGATCTTTCTGGGGACCAATAGAGACTAAATCAAACGAACACCTTATAATAGCTTGTTGGCAAACCATCTACTGTAACAACCACTTCGCTAAAATGCTAAACCTCCTCTGGTGAATGCTGCGGATTTCATCGCCATGCTCTGGGTCTTGAGCGCCTGACTGAAACCATGCGGTCTGGAGGGCATCACGAATATGTGGGAAGTGATCTTGGCTCTTTGTCGTTGGATGGAATGCCTTCGTCTTCGAGCACAGGGACGTGACGGTACTTCGAGCTGTACATCATCTTAGCACGCAAGTCCAGACTTGTTTCGCCCGATGATACAATGATAATCAATGATATGCAAGTAGTAGTTAGCAGTGCGGCGATTTTTTCGAAATTCACCTAATCATCTGCCCTTGCCAAGTGTGATCGACTTGCGACATCCCGAAGCGGAGCTTCACAAAATAGGCCATTCGACCATGCGGCTGATCCAACTCCTGTCAATGTTGCACAGCATCACTGTTTGCAGTTCATAAAAATCAAAGAAAGGAGACGTGCCCCTCGGAACATCTAATTTGGATGTTAATGTATATCTGGGCAAATTATAGGAACTAAAACTTGAAATGTGGTGATTTGGGGATACTTCCCGTTAATAACCATCATTCCAGTGAGGTCCCAGTGAGGTTGTTATGATTTGCCCGGATAAATGACCTTTATTGGTTGATTCTTCGATTGTCTATGTCCCCCAAAGACGACCTGTTCTAACAGTTGATCAAACGCCTTTGCCATTCGACAAAGACTGGGACCTCCTGAATCTTGGACTCTGAGACTTTAATGGTGGCTGTAGGTAGGTATCCATTGTTCTTGCTAGTGTTGTTCTTTGCTTGCCCAGAAAAATGATCACTTGTGGTGAGACCCAATACAGTCCAAGCAAGAAACCAAACACATATATCAGTAAAGTGAACATGTAAGATCATTTTGCAAAGAAAACCCATGGCTATTGCCGTACGATTAAATACTTCATGTCTCTGTTCATCGGTTCCGCATCCGGCTTTGGTTCAGATCAAGGGACTGGCCAACTGCGATCTCCTTCCATGCATCACTGACCACCAGCCTTCGATAGGCCTCCGAGGAATTTCGTGTTGATTTGGTGGTGTACAGGAGTGGGATCAACTCCAATGCCACCAAACCAATGCGTAGGGCAAGGATGGGGAAACATCCCTTAGGCATATTGGAATGATGTGTTGGAACAGGAAGAGTGATTCATTGACCTGAAGAGTTCGGCCATTTGGGAATGATTCCATATGATTCCCCTACTAAGTTACTAACCACCATGTTGGTGATAATTCATCATAATTCCGTATGCCTACACAGCTTAGACTTGAATGCCAACCACTTTGTGGTTGGACATTGGATCAAATGAATTCAAATGATCATCTGGTTGGTGGTATAACTACCCAGTCAGTTAGGATGATTATTCCCAACTGAATGGAAAGTCATAAAATTCCATGGTTCCAAACCACCAACCAGTTGTGGTTGGACATTGGATCAAATGAATTCCCGGTTGGTGGCTTCAATCCCTCTGAAAAAATATTAGTCAGTTGGGATGATTATTCCAAATATATGGAAAACATATAACATGTTTCAAACCACCAACCAGTAGAATATGTACATACTGGCAGCAATTGTAGAATACCTATGAATATCTAGAGGATACCCAAGAAAACTGACACGACAAAACATTGCGGGTCCACTACAAATTCATCAAATTTCAAAATTTTCAAACCACCAGCCAGATTCAAATGATCATTTTCCCATCCGATTTGTTGGACCCAGTTTTTGACTGCTGGTGACACCCGTTTTTTTCGAATCCCAGGCTGGTTGGATCCCATGCGGGACGGATCCCATGAATCCAAACTCGAGTCCCAGCTTAGTTCAGCCTCGTTACCCTCTGGTAAACTAACATAGCTATTGAAAATCACCATTTTTAATGGGTAAATATGGGTAAATCAAATATTTCTATGACCATTTTCAATAGCGAACTGTTAGTCATTACCAGAGGGTTTGCCAGATTCCGTAAGATGGTAGTGGATTACTCGTACTTATCCCGAACTCGGCCTAGTTATCAGATGTTAGTTCACTGTTAGTGGATTAAGCCTCCTTATCCCACCAGTGATAAGATGGGATAAGACACCAAGTCGGCCTCAAAGGCGTCGGGACGCCAAGCATCAACGCACCTAAGAGCAGTCTCTGGTCGAAACAAACAGATTTTGGGGGTGCAACACAAAACGGATACTTGATGATATTTGTATATATGTATATACACACTATATTAATATATTAATAGTAAAGCTTCTATTTATACACTGACCCTACATCTACAGTTGTGGCCCAACTAACACTTATAACTGGCTTATTTCATGATATGTAATATGTAAGCTTAGTTATAGGAATTATTTCATTTTATACTACCATTTACTATTAAGGGCCATGACTGTATGGGCAAATCATCTATATTTTTGTTAATGTTTGTTATGTACATATTTCTGTATCCATTTATAGATTGAATATTTAGTTGCACAAGTTCGTTATCAATCTATATTATCTACATACAATATATATATATATAAATATGGCCAATCTTAGATAGCCTGCAACAACATATTAGCTGCTTAGTAGATAATCTCATTGATGCCAAAAGACTAAAGGATTAGTTTCTACCCATCTAAGATTAGCCTAGCACGCGCGAACGATTAGTCAACCATCGACTCCATCGACCATGAAACACCATCTCGTAGTCACTCAACAGCCAATGGTGTTCTGAATGCCGGGCACTCACCAGCAATAATTTCCTTGTAAACTTCTGTATCTGGCATATTCTGGCATCCTTTTGAGATTTTGGATGACACACAATCTCTTGTTAGACAGTTCAGCAACACAGTTCACCAGAACTTGCGCAAAATGTGAACTTCTCTCCGCTCCGTCCCAATGGACCCTCACTACTCCAGGTACCCTCTGGTAAACTAACCGAACTATGGAAAATCACAATTTTTAATAGGAAAATCCACTATTTCTATGGCCATTTTCAATAGATATGTTTGTTTAGGGTATTCCCACGGCATTCCACCGTCGAGAACCCCAGGCGCAGCAAATAGGTAAAGCGCATCAGATCGCTGCCGACGCTGATGAGAAGATAGGACCTGTGAAGCGAGCTCCGGGCCAGGCAACGCTTGTTGGGATTGATGTTAAGAATGTTAGTATATTTGGAGGTCGTGAAATAGAACAAACATATATATATATAGAATTATATATTCAAATAAATAATATCTATATATAATAAAATAATATATATATAATTAAATAATAAAAAATATATATACATATATTAGTGACAATTATAGATGATTATAGCTGATTCTATATCATATATATCATATATACATATGATATTATATATATATATATCATATATATCATATATACATATGATATTATATATATATCATATTGATTATAGTGCCCCCCAAATTGGGCGCAAGAGTAAGTTGCAGTCCCGCAGTGCCTGAAAAAGGCACCAAAGAAATGGCAAATCGCCACAAAGTTGCCTCGGTCCGCAGAACATAGCCCCCTGGTGATGTTTGTTGGTTTGTAAAACCCCATTACTGGGACTTGCCAGGGGTATAGTATATAGCCCAGTAAAACTATATATATATGTACATGGTGTATATATATATATGTATATGTAGTCTCTACAGTTATGGCCCGAGTTATACCCAGTTATGTTTGTACTGAACTAACCCCATTTATAGAATGTGTAATTCCAAAGAAACAACCAGTTATAACTAATAAATGGCCATAGGTGTAGAGACATTCTCTATAGCTGGTTGGTGGTATACCTACCCCTCTTAAAAATATGAGTTCGTCAGTTGGGATGATTAAATTCCCAACTGAATGGAAACATAAAATTCATGTTCCAAACCACCAACCAGATAGTCTATAGAGATATCTAATATAAACCATAGTTGTTGGAGTTGTCGGCACCAACTTAGCTCATTCGATATCTACCATAAACCCAACAGCTAAGCTAGTTTTGTTCAGTAGGATTCTACATTTATCAATCTTTTTGGGGATTTATAAAATATGTTCATGTATATATATATATTATATACATATTCATAGTGGGTGATAAACTGTCAGTCCAGGGTATTGAAATTCTTGATGAAACTTTGTCATTGGGAGATGTTGGACTTCTATAGATTCTATACAAGGTGGTGCCATCCACTAATAAATTGACTTGTCAATTCCATTATACAATCATAGATGACCATAGATATATCTACAACAAACTATAGTCGACCTTAGTTATAAGTTATAAGTTATAAAATGTTATCTGTTATAAACCAACTTGGCTATCTGGGGGGACCCTCCCTGTACCAATCTCAGTCTATACCGTTATTTCAACTATCCAAAAAAAACTGACTTACCCAGTTTGTAACGGTGGACCCCAAGTTCCTTAATCGAATTACCTCATTTTTTTGGAGCCGAAAATGGAGGTCTAGCCCAGTTTTGGTGCACCAACTCAACATACTGAATTATATATTTCTTGCATAAAAAACACATAGGTTTTAATTGTGTTGGAAAACACATATTTTCAGCCGAAACTTGCGCCCATGGCTGGAGAGAAAATCTCCAAAAAACGCATCATTCCAGTGCCGTCATTGTTGCGTGTCATGATCACATGAACAACCCAAGTCCAAAGATAAATCCACTTGGTGGTTCATCCCACTGCTCGTAAGTGGGTTATAACCCCAGTTATAAGATGTTTTTTTTGTGGACTAAGCCTACTTATCCCATTTAAAACCAGGGTTATAATCCACTAAGTGGCATGAACCACCAAGCATGATATTCCATTTTTTCTCATCATATCTTCATCATGTCCCCCATTCAATCACCATCAAATGAGCAGTGTGAAAAAAATCCCTCTATCATTCCATGAAATACTGGTTGGTTTCTAGTGATTTCCCTATTGGATTATTAGAATGCCCAATATGTTGGATTGGGTAGTATAATCCCCGAACTAATCATCAACCAACACGGGTTATGAACACTGCTCAAATGAACCAATTTTGGTTCAACAAACCATCACTGGGAATTTTGGGACCCTAAAATGTAGCTACTGTACCTAATATACAGTAAGTCCATATATTTTCTGGGGATATTCCTTTTTCAAACATAGGCCTTTTTTTTCGGCCAGAAATATATGCTAGGGACATCTAGGGACCTCCATTTTTTCTCGCTTCCTGTTGCGCCATTGAAACCAGCGCCCGACCAATCCCGAACCTGCGCCCGTCTTCACGAAAGGGTTGCCGCCCTCCCTCCTGGATCCCAGGCGGAGGCGGCGAGAAGACGAAGACCTAGCGATACTCCCAAAACGTTAAGAAAGTTGGTCTATAACTACGATAGCTAGGGGGGTTTGTGGTGATGTAATAATAATATATGTATGTATGTATATATATATATTATTGTATATTATAACCAGTTAAAACGATAGGCATCTCATCAATCCTATCCACCTATTAAAAACCAATGTGGATGTCCGAAATGAATAGATCCATAGCCTGATAAACATCTCCGGAATACCATGAAATAAAAAAATCTGCTGTCATGTTTCATCTGGTTATCTGCCTACTTTTGGTGATCTAGACTTGGAACTCTGCTTTCTCGGGGATTCAGATGCCCTATTTTCATCTATTTTCTGTGATGTGATGGGTCAAAACCTCGTCTTACCATATTTTGGGGAACCATCATCCATTCACCAGCGATTTTTCCAGGTACCATCCACCAGGGTCAATCATTTGACCCAGGGTTAGCCATGTATTCGACGATGAACGCCATGAAATCCCAGGAGGATGGGGAAAACTTGAGTCGCTGGGTCCAAGGCTCGGGAGCGGCAAACTCTGCTGTTTTTTGTTCCAAACTCTGATGATCCCTTCGCGTCATGTCACGGTTCATCCTCCCAACCAAAAACCCAGTAACTTCACTCAAACAACTAGGGCATGTTCATTCCCATCCCCTCCAAACCTAGCAGTTTGACACTTCCGGCAGACCAAGTTCCGGACATTTCTGAGAACCACTGGATGTAGCAGCGCAACACACCAGATGTGCAGTTGATGAAGATCAAGATGGTGCTGTTCAGAAACATAAAACCTGAGACCCAAAGTTGAGCACAAGGTGACTACAAGGTGGCAGTGGGGCCTCAAAACATTGAACATGCTATCTATGTTTGTGAAGATAGCTAGGTTGACTCAGGTTTATGATAGATATATCATGATATATCATGATTTTTTTCAAGGCTTAGATCGGGTGAACAGCCATCTTTTTTCACTGGGAGGGGCAGCACCTTGCAGCTTCAGAGGAACCCCTCTGGGACGATCCAGCTGAAATGACCAACTGTTCTGGAGAATGAAAAAAAGGACTCCAGCGGAAACAACTAGACGACTTCACAGAATTTTCCACCATGTTCAGGATGGCTTGAAGCCAATGATTTCCACCAGAAAATTTCTGGGTGAATTCCTGGTGAATTCACATTCACATTCGGGACGGCGGAACGCCAAGACACAATGCCACAAGGCAAAGGCCTCACAAGATCCGTTGAAAACAGGCCCGCAGCTGAGGGAGGGTTAGAACAATCCCCTGTCAACGGGAAAATCATAGGAACATATGGGAACATCCACTGTAAAATGGACATGTTAATTGGAAAATCATTAAACATCATCGAATTATATCAAAATAATTGGTGATTTTCCAGCAAGCCATGTTTGATTACCGGAGGGCAATCTAAAAAAGTTCAATGGTTTCCCCTCTGGTCATTGGTAAAAAAGTTCGCCGGGAGTTCGCCATGGCATATGTCGTTCCATGATAACCAGCTATCAAAAATAGTGACTTTCCATAGTTTAAATTTCCAGAGGTTAACCGGTAATTGTCATCATCTTATTGAGGTATTACAGTAATGAATCTTTGGGCATGCGCAAAAACATCAGACAAAAAAACACCCAAACAAATGGCTAGCAAACAGCAATTTCATGGATACCCGGATACCCTCATTGTCAGACATGTGTTTGGTGTCATGCAATCTTTGGGTAACTAGACTTCCAAACACCTTGTGCTTCAAGACTTGGACGTGAGAAGGTAAACGTCTTGGAGGTCCCATCTAAGTCCAAAGGACAATGGGTAGATGGGCAGTGGCTGGCTTCATGGATCGCGGATAGACTTTCAGGGGAAGTTATCTATCCGTGACAATGATAACCCAATGATAGGCTCTTTACAATGCCAGTTCTCAGCGTGACTATCTCTTTTCTACAAATCATTATCTATGCGCCATCTTGTTCAAATGCGGTGTTGTGCGGGCTATCTGTACGCAAAACCAATATCATCATGGTCAATATTGCATTGGTTAAAACATGTGTCAAATATACCATAGACTCCTTTTGTATTGTACGTGTACAACACACATTAATTGAGCACATGAGTCAATCCCGCTCAGGAATTCACTGTTTCTCCTTCAAGGTCCTCCTCCACTCGTGTTACGTGTCTCTGCCACTCAGCTGTCATTTACTTATTGGGAATCGTCTTAACAACCTACCATGACCCCAAGTTGGTTGACCCATAGTACAGAGAAAATACAATATAAACTTATCCGGAGGTACAAATACAGTCCTCATTTTTGTGGTTAAATTGAAGGTCCAAGTCCAAGTAATTCCAAAGATCTTAGTACTTATGACATTAAATGCCATTAAACAAACACATCTTAGATCATCTTAGTACTTGCGACTAACCACCCAGTTATATCCCATGATTATCCCAGTATCAATCCCTATAACTATACTTACAATTGGTTCATAACATATTTTTCGGCAGGTTAATCCCACTGACCATGGTCAATCTGAGATACCTGCCCAATTAAACTATTTTTTTTTTAGCTAGTCTTTGTACATTTTACACAATATTCAAATAATTACCAAAGTACCTAACCGAGGTTGGCCCAGATCGGTGACAATTAGTAAGTACGGACAAGTTAGTAAGTAAAAAAGATTGTTCGAGAAAGTATGAACTGTCACTGGTAAATAAAATTCCTAACTTTACAGGGTTAATCCCAGTTACTGCCAGTAACTATGGTAACTATAGCTATGGTTAATAATGATTTTTACACCCCAATAACTATAGTCACTATAGTTATAGGTTTCAACCCCTCTGAAAAATAAAAAAGTCAGTTGGGACTATTCATATTCTTCTTCCCAAAAAATGGGAAAACATCCAAATCTTCCAAACCACCAAGCAGCAATCTTACTGGTGCTTGGCAGGGAACTTTCGGGAATGATCCCAGTCATCACTAGTAATATCATCATCCCAGCAACCCCCAGCAACCTATCCAGCAACCCTACGTTTAGCAAAGTGAATATCCAGTCTTCACCAGTAAGGATAGTTACAAGTACCACAAACATCCACCATAGTTTCAGGTGAATCCCAGCCATTGGGCCATTCCTCCCATCATCCACCGAGCTACGCCCGCAGCCCAGGATCGCCCCACGTTGGCAAGGCTCAAATGCCCCCAGGTAGGGAGAAAATAACCTGGGGCCCGTCACAGGGGGGGCCAAAGAAAAGTTAGCTAAAAGCGTTGGTGATTCATAATGATTAATAGGGATTGATAGTGATAAATATTGATAGATAGTGAGTAATAGTGATGAGTAGTGGAATGAGTAGTGGATTTAAGCATGAAAACTGTGGATATCTGTCCAAAAATGAATGTACAACTCGGAAAATGGGTGTGACAATGGTGACATATGAGAGCTGCTCGCTACGTTGAGGGCCAACTAACTTGGTGAACTGTTGAGTTTTCATGGGGTGAACTTAAACCGACAAACATTTCACTGGGGTGCCAGCCTGCAGGGAAGGGATTTTGATGGGTAACACAGTGTCTATTCTACTTAGATGTTCCCCGAATATGCTGCCAGTAGGTGGTTTGTCTAGGTAAATATATCTCATACAATCTGGAATATAAGCCACTAAGATGTATTCTAAAGCAATCTCTTAAGATAGAGCGATCGGCAGGAAAATGTTGGTAACTTAGCAAAGTTAAAGCTATCATCATTCACAAACCCGAACTAAGTTGATGTCGCCTATTCTTGTATCATTTCTCTCGCTGATCATCATTCATGGTGAGGTCGTAATGAGGTCGCCATGATGTACATCAAAAACCAGCAGACTGTGGGATTCTATTGCAAAAAATGGGTGAGGGTAAGTGTACCCTGGTACCACGTGTTCATTTCAGGGTCCAATAGCTACTGACCCATGGAATCGTGTACTGGAATCAACGACTTTTGTTTGAAATCCAAGCACGACGATACATATCATTTCAACTCAAAAGTTTCAAGCAAATTCGTACTAGAAATCCAAGACTCTGCAAAACAAATGCCCGGCTGAATTCGATTTATCACCAACCTGACATACTCTCTGGTAGTCAAACAAAGACCCAGGTGCTGATTTCCCAGCTGTAAATGTCCCACAAACGGATGGTAAGGTTGTTCTGGGATGATTCCCGCTTGCCGTTGGCCATGATCCTTCTGGCTCAACTCGTTGCTGTGAAGCTCAAGCAAAAAACAGGTCTTTAAAGCAGTCTCGGCCGTTTTTGAATAGATATTAAAAAATATTAAAATCACATCATCATCATCATCATCAGATTTTAGGCATTCAGAGAATGGCTTCCGGCATCAAACAACCACCCAACGTGGCACCAATGGAAAGCCAGGAGCCAATGCAGAGAGCCAGGCGATAGCAACACGAGATTTTCCTTGACCAATGGGACGATTCTAACTTGTTACCGAACAAAAATAGGCAAGTTCCATAAAACAAGACTGGTGTGTGTATGTATATATATATATATGTATATATATATATACACATAGTATATAGATATATACACATAGTATATAGATATATACACATAGTATACATATATATATACATACCATGTACATATATATATATATATTTTGGATATATATATTGGATATATATATATATTGGAACTGGCTAGATCGTGTTAGGTGATGTTAGACGGCTGTAGAAATCAACAAACATGAATAGGGGGGGCTTCTAGGGTTGTCCGTTGTCCCATGTAGAATTGGGGCCCAGGGTTGTCAACCACTTGCTAACTGGGCCTGAACAGTGATGACAAATGGGGGTCAAAACCCTGGCGCGTTATGGATGTTCATCTCTACCACGCTTCAAGAGCTTGTGATCCAGAAAAGAGGCATTGAACGTCTGGAATAAGTCTGAAAATGTCATTTCCAAAGCCAAAGTCATAATTGATCTAAACCCTCTCCATTCACATTGCGTGTCGACATGTTCATATCACTTTCCGGGCTAACTTGTTAAGCCGAATGTGAAGACCATCGCGACGCCCAACCTGGGTTCTTTTAAGATCTGTCAATGGAGTGGGGTAAGGGAAATTCGGCAGGAAGGCATGTTTATATCTTACCATCACAAAAAGGGCTTTCCTGAAAAAACAAATCTCAGCATCCAATTTTTGGAATCTAAGTAAGACTTGCCCAGAATGTCCCATCTGGGAATTTCTACAAAATATACTAATAAGTCTATGAACATAGTATATTTTACCTAATATTAAGTTTCACTTTTCCCTTTCGGCTAAAAATGCAATAGGATCTTTACCTCTTGAAGTAAGACCTGCCCAATTCCACTATTCCCTACATGCACAAGTTTCCCTAGAGATTGAAATCTCTATTAAACCTGTTCAATGGTATCAATTCTCCTTAATTTCTAGATTCACTATTCCTTAAATGTCCCAAGTGCTAGTTTCCATTCAGTCAATGAGGTCTATCATTCCGACTTGTATAAATTCATGAGGTATATATAAATATACACACACACATAAATCACATATATATATACACATACATACATACATACATACCATACCATACCATGCCATACCAAACCATACATATCTGTTGTTTCCCTACCTAATTATTTAGTGTCACTATTCCCTAGTTCGATTCGAAGAAAAATCACCTCAGCTTCGCTCAGTTCCCACCCCATCCGTCCATGGCTCTCTTCTCTCACCGGCTCGACATCAAATTCCTCCTCCTCCTCAAGATATGCAGCTGGGCATCCCCCAGATATGGCGACGACTCACCGAAATGGATATAGGATGATTTAGGTGTATTATATGTTCAGGCAAACCCAATCTTGCAACCATTGTTAGAAACACTGGAAAAGCTGGAATTTCGAAGGGAAACATCATCCATAACATCCTGGAAAACCTATGGAAACATGTTTCTCTTTTTGGGGACCCATATGTATGTTTTAATGTCTAGTTACCAGAAAGAATCCAGCAATGGTCTGGGAACATGGCCATCAACAGCTCCTGAAACGCTGCTTGTATGGAAGCATCATTTGTTTTGGGCTCCGCTATCTTCCTCTTGGATCAAAAGTGAAAGCAAAACACAGGCTCATTCAGGACAATCATTTCCAATGGGGTTCTATCAAACCTGAACGAAAAAAATAGGATGTATATAACCATCAAACATGAGAATTCATCATAACTTGGACCCATAACACGGCAAACGCAGAGCAGGTATGGGCTATGGCACTGACTCATGGGACAACGCCATCCGTAGCATTTTATGGCTGCAATCCATGAGGCTATCATCTTTATAGGTATATTGGGTATACAATACAACCATGATATAACCATGACTATAAACCCCACAGCTATGGCCCGAAATACCAGTTATAACTACTAAGTCACCTCATAGAAATAGAATGTATAATCCCTTTTCGAAATAACCAGTTATAACCATCATCAATCACTATTAGCCACGAAATAAACCATGATTAACCACTGATAATCACCATCAATCATCATTAATCACTAATAAATGGCTATAGCTGCAGCCCCGGGCCGAAGTTGGGCTCCTCGGAAAGCTCGGAATGCTCTTCTGACAGGCCTGGCGTGAAGGTTCCCTAGGCCCCAACAAAAACAGAGCAAATGAGGTCTTGGCAACTGCCAAATCTGGATCAATTTGGGATCATGATGGAGCATGAAAAAACAGAAATTCTCTGAAGTGCCGATTTGTGGTTATACTTACAGTTGCTTGCAACATCTTGTAAGCCCTTGCTGGATGCATTAGAAATGTAGCCAGCCATCCCAGAAGGCCTATTTGACGAAAGATCAGTGGTTGAAAACTCAGTGATGACTTTGGAACAGTCGTGCCATGTCATTCTGATCTTCTTGGTTCTTAGCAGCAGTCCAGCTATTTATCAACCATGTTGACTTCCATCTCATGTCAGCTGATTATGCTCCAAGCAGTTCCCAAGCCCATGGTGGATTGGTTCTGGCGGATTGATGTAAAATGTCAACATCTCTTGTCCCAATCTCCCCATTCACTGGCGGGGGTCTGGCAGTCTGGGGACAAATTTGTGTGGATTCCCATCCCCTGTGCTGCTATGGGGGTGATGCAAAGTGAGCAGTAAACCCGGCATGGATCCAGTCGTACCTTCGAAGTGGGACTGGGGTATAATTTATTATAATTTGGAGGGTTAGCCGTACCTTCTCAGACAGTCTTTGGATCCATAGGGAACACATGGTAAGTTGCAAAATGCGGACAGCATTTTAACGGACATATCATCCCGTCAGCAATGTTGTGCTCTGGTAGGTTCTGGTTCCCTTCAACTTCCAGTAAATTTGGGAATATCTCTAACCTACCACAACCTACCATAACCTACCATAACCTACCATAACCTACCATAGCCTACCATAGCCTACCATAGCCTACCACAACCTACCAAAAAACTGCCATAACTGGCTATAGTTTGGTTTATAACCCCCATGAATCGTCTGTACAAATATATGTTATTGGAGTTATAATGCAGCCAACTTAGCTATCGTAAACGGGGGCCCACCTTGTACCATAAAATGAGGTCGATTAGGGATATGTCTCCCAATTATCATCAAGTAGGTGCCAGCGTATAACTACACGGAAAGACTGGGGCTAACCATCACTCACCTGGTCCAAGAACTGGGAATGTATCCAACACATTTCGGTGTTGCCATGGTTGTATATCCACTCTGTTCACTGGAACTGCACTTTCAAGTAACCTAGCAGAACCCACCATAAAATGTCCCGCTGGTAGTTCCACATAGCTATGGAATGCTATGGAAAATCACCACGTTGAGTAGCTAAATCATCGAACTCAATCACCGAATCATCGCCCTTTTTTCATCCATTTTCATCCATGTTCATCCATTTTCCATTTTCGCAAACTCTCATCCCTCATCACAGATAGCTCAAACAATAAAATTCACATTTTGCATGATTCAAGGCATATTCCCCGAAGATTTTCCCATGGAAAACATGGAAGGGCCTGTGGAGGTGCTGTGCCCGAAGCCAAAGGCCAGGCTGCCTTGCGGCGTGGCGAAACATGGCAAAACGGCCAACTGCTAGATTCCAAAAGTTCTAATCATTCTAATCCACATTTCCTAAGCATTTCCCAAACATGTTCACCATTTTTGGAGTTCTAAGTCTTGGAACTCCGAAAATGGTAAAATGATAGAATCTGATAGAAATAAATAGAAATAGTATGATTCACAATCTTCGGAATCTTCGGATCAATCACAGTTTCTGGTGATTTCACCACAGCTGGGTCGTTCTGACTTTCAGTGCCCTCAGTTGAAAGTCAGGACACGTAGATGATCATAACAGTTCTTGTTGATCATTCACAAATGTAAACTGAATAATGGGATTTGTTATTGGTTTCCGCATATGACAAATGCTCACGAGCACTTGATTCAGTACAGCGCAAGTACCGTATAAGAACGTTTTCATCAATACGAATTTGAGGGACTCGGCTCCAATCCAAACCACTATCATTCCACTATCACTGTTTGGGCTGCATCTGATTATACCTCAAAAAATCCTTAAAAGATGGAACAGTGGAGCGACCCCTGCCTCTTGAACCGGCATCAGAATAGACAAACCGTGCCCGGACTTGTTTCATCGTATCCACGAACTCCCCCCCAATCCCGAGGTGCAAGATAATATCAAATAATGAAGAAAACAGTATAGTAAGAATTTGAGGGACCCTCACCTTCATTCACCTTCATTACCCCCAAAATTCTTAGCAATTGAAATAAAGAATTTGCAGGAATTTTGCGAATTCTGAGTAGTCTACCAGTGTGCAGGATCATGCAAGCGGGGAAGTTGGCTCTGGCACCAAAACTTTAAGTCATGGCATGTGTGATCTGGGGGATCAAGCGATATCATGCCAATTCAGAAGTTACAATGCAAACATGCACATGCTCAACAAACACAGACTTGCCTGCATAAAGACCAAACTTGACATAAAGGTTTTAACGCAGTCAACATCGGGAAAACATGTTTTTTTAAATAAACATGTGGATCAAAACCAGCAACAAATTGGTTGGAGGCACCAAAGATAATTTTGTATAATTGGGGATGATCAGGTTGATCAACAAAATCATATAATCATCACAATTTGGAGATACCAAGTAATTAATCCGGTCCATGTGTTGCTACAACAACTTCTCCGTGTTTATAATCCCTCTTGTCAAAATTTTCAATATCTATACATACCATAGATCCTAAAATAAACTACAAATTTAAAACTCTCATTTTGTTGGTTGATATCCTCATGTTTGAATGGTTAAACACGGGCACCGCTGGCACGTGCTCCGCTAAGAACCACCAAACCTCGTGTCTCTGCATGTTCAATGGCAGCCCTTGAAAGGCTGTGAAGCATGGCTGGACATGCAGCGCTCCGGCAGGTGCGAAACAGGCGGATGTTTTCAATGATCTGGACGGGGATCTCTGAACACTTAGACGTTGTCGGAAAGAGCGATTCCTGGTCGGTAAGTTGGCTGTTTCCCCCCTTATTAGTGGGATGTATTGGGATATATCCCAGTGGAAAACCACAGAATTCAGTGAACGTGGCGTCCCAGAGTGAACATGGAAAATTTGGACTTTTGGACCTCAGTCTGGAAATGGCAAGTTTTGGGGTGCAGCTTCTGGCTGTTCAGTCAGATGAGTTGTCTGTAGAGTGCGATGCCTGGAGTTGTTTGACTTTCTTTCCAGCCAGATCAAAATGGGCAAATTGAACTGGCAAAATCTCATTCTGTGAGAAAGGTTCTTGAAAGATACGACATTTTTTCTTGAAAGGTTTTCGCCCTCGATCTCATGTTGTCGTGTTCAAAAGACCTTGGTGTAGCCAAACTTGAACTGATGTTCACGGTTGGCTCGTGTGCATTCCTATAAACAGTCTGCACATCGCTTGGATTGACCCCATGTGTAAGGATCTGAGATGCTGTTTTGCAGCTTTGAAGGGGCAGACATTGGACCAATTCTCACCCCTCTGCTGAAAAATCACTCCATGTGTTGGCGCACTTTGGGCCAAAAAAAAGCGGCTGCAACGTGACACAAAAATGCCGGGGGCTGAACGAACATATGGGTGTGACTGTAATTGGTGTATATCTATCATATAAAATGATATAAAAGGAAATTAAAATATAAATTAAACCAATTATTACAGGAAAACTATGGTGGTTGGTTATCAAATTTACTGCTTGTGTTCACACAAACCTGGGAAGTCACCTATGGCTCCGATATGCATCATCGAAGCAGATGTCGATTGTCGTTGTACAGGGACTCCACCATGGTGGTGTCCTAAAATAGGGGTACCATCTGGTTATTTAACATAGCCATGGAAAATCCCTTATAAATGGAGGTTTCTAGCTGGGAAAATCATCTACAAATGGGCCATTTTCCGTGGCTATGGTAGTCATAACAAGAGGGTACTCCCAGTTCTCATCCGTTTAAGATTGGTGTTTTCCATGAAACAAACCATCCAGCGATAAAGGGGATCCCGTTTTCCATGGAAACCCCTCAGAAAAGTATGGTGCGTCGACCTGAGGGGATATTCCACAATCGATTCTGGGCGTTTTTTCGAATACCTCACTAGTCACTACATCTCACTACATAACCTGAAACAATCTGAAACAAGGCCTCAACACTTCGCAATCGGTCATTTGGGGATGATTCCCCTTACTAACCACAATTCCAGTGAGGTCACAGTGAGGTAACTATAATTCACCCAAATCAATGTCTTTGGAAGACGTGAAGGCCATGATGTTTTCAAATTTTGTCTGCAGCACCGCGACACGCGCTGAATAAAAACAAGTCAGGACCATCATGACAATGCCTTTAGCAAGTGTTGACCCCGAGTATCAATCCAGGATGAACATTGACCCTCCACATCCCTCCAGCTTTCTGTTTGTTCGTTTGATTATCATATTTAATAGCAGTTGTATTTAAATTATACTTACCATGACTTCAGGATATTATCGGAAGGTCACCGCTCTGCAAAAGAAAACAAGCCAGGTGTATTCACATATGCTCCATGCATGGAATATTGGCCAACAATTGACCCCAAAAGTCCCTGTTTATTTGTGCAGCCAATTAAGTATGGATATATTGATATATATATATATACGTACATTACATTATATACATCACATCACATCACATCACATCACCTCACATCACATCACATCACATCACATCACATCACATTACTTACATATCTATATATACTATAGTTCCTAGTTATAGCAGTGACACAGACCAACTTCGGCAACGAACTGGGGCACCACCTTGTGACCATTCTTAGCTAATCATCCCATTCCACACATCATGTCATATATTATACATAGTACATCTACACATACACATATACCCAACATTAGATCAATTATACCAAACAATGATACTGGTTAGCAACTAACATTAACATTACTATTTGTCAATCAGATCACGGTCGCATTAATCCCACAGGGTCTGATTTGTTCCTCCCGGGTCGACCGTTTCGTACACATCAAAACGCAGGTCACAACCTGCGGCTTGGCAGGTGTCAACGGTGGCTGTTGGCCTCTCATTCCTGGATCGAACATTAGGTCGATTGTTGGAATAGTTCATGACAGTAGTTCAAAGTAAGTACCATTACTAGAACATAGCCAACAAGGACAACCGTATTCTATAGTTTTGTTGGGAGAATCTTCACCCGAAATCCTGTGTCGCCACCTGCCAAGCTCAGCTCACACGTCTCGAATGTTTCACATCAAACGTGATCGTATCGGACCCAGGCGCTGAGGCGTTCTAGAGCTCCCAAAAAGAGCTTTGCGTATGGTAATATACATATATATATATATCATAATCTATGACGACTACTATAGTTGATTCCTATTTATTAACGTATGAACAAAGCTATAACACACATATACTACCCAAATTTAAACTAATTTATTGTTTGTGACAGCTACACCTGCTAAAACTAACAACTCTTTCAGTCAGTTTAAAGTTAACTAGAATCAACTTGTTTCTTTGCTATCATTATCTAATTGGTGGTATACCTACCCCCCTGAAAAATATGAAAGTCAGATTGGATCATCATCCCAACTATTGCGGAAAATAAAAATCATGTTCCAAACCACCACTTTATCCCACTTTATCGGAAGCGCTGCCAGAGTCTTGACGCTGACAGCCCTCTTTCAGCTGCAGCCTACGCCAAACTAATCCAAACCTCTGTCATATCGTCGACTTTGGACGCTAGAGGCAGGTGTTGCAAGGCCTTTGATGTTCTATGGATTCCATCCGGACAGTGAGAAAGAAACCACTGATCGACACGATCCAACCGCTTCTTGGGCCATGGCAAGGCGAGGCATCCCGTATGAAGGAAAAGAGCTTTAGAAGATGGTCTGCAATACTGTTGTGTGCAAGGGTGACCCAAATGACGCAGGCACTCACGCAGGACTTTCGAAAACCACCGCACCCTGGTTTGGAAAGAAACAGAAAGGAGATCCAGATGTGGCGTATATCTTCCTGATTGCCATCCTCCAAAATTCGTAGGTGCAAGCTCACCGGTGAGTGAAAAATCAATATACAATTGATACTGCGCAACCCAGACTACCTCTTCATCACATCCAAACAGATTCTGGCAAAACCAAGAAAGCACTGTTCTAACCACCTCATCACCATACCATCGGACCGCATCTCCTGGAATCGAAAGTGTTTCCAGTGGTTTCCAAGCATCAATTGGCACCATGGTCGGGACAGCCAGCTCAGGCCGCTGTGCTTGCATGTCATTGTCCTTATCACGTACAACCGCTCTACTGATCAACAGAAGGGTCTGCTGTACCTCTCTGGAAAGCTGAGAGCAGGCATTGGTCACCTGCACATGCTTGGCAAAAAAATCCCAAAAACCCTCACTGCGCTTGAATTGAGCCAGATTAGCTGCTTGGTCAGCACAACTGTTATGGGTAAAGCACCACTCCTCCAATGGACCTGTAGCCAGCGCAACACTTTGATGGGCAGCCACCTTAGTAATGGTCACCCGGCCTCTCTCAAAGTCACGCATGCAGTCAAAGATCAACATCCACAAATCAGAGTGAGCACTATTGGGTTTTGGTTCAATACCATCCAGGATTTTGGTCATCCTTCTTACCACTGCATTGCAATCGGTCCAGATATGGATTGTGCCTGTTTGAAGCCTCATGGCACAAAGCGCACGCCACACTGCAAAAATCTCTGCTCTGTATGAGCTCTGCAAAACTCCTGGTAACGGTCCTGAGTCTAAGACATGGCTCACAAGCGGCGCATGAACATCTGCCAAAACCACGGCACAAGCAGCCACTCGACAAGTGGGGTGTGCTTGGTTCAGGCAACTCCCATCCGTGAAAACATGCAAATCATGAGAACAAGGCGGCAAAGGAAGGGAAAGAGGAATTGAGATCTCATTCAACATTCTCAACCATTGCAACCTGGTGTATGGACGGACACTCCACCCGTACCCTGTAAGGCATTCAGGAGCAGTGGGCAGCAGGGCAAGAGTACATGAGGACACATGAGATCTCTCCTGGACAAAACGTTCACATTCCCAGAATCTGTGGTATCTGGTGTCCACACAATTGCAATAAGGACACAGCTCATCTCCTTCTTCCTGGCAGTGCTTTTTACCATCTTGGGTAATGTGGCGTCCATTAAGACACTTACGAAACAAGTCCTGATCTTCATTTGTCAACCCTTTCAAGAAAGCACGTGTGTCGCCAGCGTCGGCAAACTGCAGGTGTTGGTAACCTGGCCGGTGGGAAACCTGTTGAGCAATGACTTTCTGCCAGGCCCACTGAGCTCGCAACACGATCTCAGTCATGCAGGCTCCAAACAAATGAAAGCAACCCCACTCATCAGACACAAAGCCATCAGGGTGAACGTGCCAGCCCAAAACTTGCAATCGAGTCAACAAGGTTGAGCTAATACAATTGGTAGGCAGGCAGTCAGGCTGAGTTGTGAGGCTGGTCAAGTTCCGGGCAACCTGGACGGCCTCCCCACAGTCTCTTGCACATCGGACCGTTTGAATAAGTGACCAAAACTGGGGATCCAACATGGAGTGTTCGACTAGACCTAAGTGAACCCAAGAGTTGCTCCCTGCGCCATCTTCGTCCAAGCCTTTCATTGCACCCGCTCTCAAGGTTTGGTATGATGCATCACTCAGTGTGGTGGAAGCCACCGCATGTAAGGCTCTCAGCCAAGCTGCTACCAAGATCGCCCGAATTTTCTGTGAGTATCTGCACATTGACATCCTCAATCTAGGCCATAGGGAGCTCATGCCTTTAACTCGATCCATCAAGGAGTGGTTCGTGTGTTTGCGAGACATTTGCACGTGAGCCCCCAGGTTTTTGGCTGAAAGCACCA